TTGGTATGTAGAAGTGGGCACAGGTAAAGGTTGTACAGGGACAGGGATGGGAGCTTTATCATAGTGTTTTGACAGGACCGGGAGGAGCCGGGTAAGCCAGCCAGTACTTATATAATATTTGGCTTAGCCAATTTTGTATCTTCGCTAAAAAAGAGAAGGGGCAACGGATAGACCAAATTTGGCAGACATAATGTGTAGGGTGGGGCGTGTGTTAATAAGTTTTTCTTTCGGGACTCGAGAATTGCTTCTATCGACTTATTGATTTTTTTGCAGTTTTTGTGGGAAAATTTTTTATGTTCACCTAAAGAGGATAGAAGAAATCATACAGGGTGTCCCAAAAAATGTGCCTACTGTTTGATTGTAAATAACTCTCTTGTAATGAAATGTTTCGAGATGCTTTAGGTACCGTTTTTTAGAGCGAGCTTACTTAGATTTGCTGTATGGACTGAATCATCGATCGCTCGTCATTACTGTAGGATTACGGTAAGAACTTCCAGCATACGCAACCATTGTAAAATATACCACCTAACAAAATTTTTGTTCAAAAAACCTGAAAAATTGTGTATTAGGGTTTTCGCGCATGCCAATTCCACCTAACAACTTTTTATGAGTGTTTTCAGCTTTTCGACGGTATAATTACATTTCTGACAAGTGCTGGGAATTTGATTATTACGATTTACCGGGGATAACATAGGAAAGAAGCATCACAGCAAAACGGAGATTTCAAATTCGAAATCAGCGGCTCCCATTACCGTAGTGTAAGAGTTTTTGGCTTGTTTGGTTTCGTTCCGAGGCAGAGTATAGCCTCCAAAGGCCTAAAATCCTTGTCGAAGTTCCTACCGTAATCCTACAGTAACGAAGAGCGATAGATGATTCGCTACATATGTATATCTAAGTTTAACCTCGCTCTACAGAACGGTACCTAAAGCTTCTCGAAACACTTCATTACAAGAAAGTTATTAACAATCAAACAGTAGGCACATTTTTTGGGACACCCTGTAGAATTTGAACCAGACCTGGCAGACATAATGTATGGGGTGAGTAATGTGTTAGTAAGCCACTTTGTTCAGAACCTACCGATCGCCTAGCGGTTTATTGATTTTTTTACAATTTTTGCAAAAAAAAAATTTTTATGTTCGCCTGAAAAGAATAGAAGGAATTATGGAATCCGCACCAAATCTGGGAAACATAATGTATGGGGTGGGGCGTGTGTTAGTAACTCATTTTATTTGGGACGCACCGATTGCGTCTACCGATTTATTGATTTTTCAGTTTTTGCTTAGCAGCTTTTATGACAAGCTTAAAATGTTGGCAAGAAATATGCTCTGAACCAAACTTCGCATTAACTTCGGGACGCCATGTGTTACTAACTTTCCACATTTTCGCATTATAAATTAAAACGGAAATTTCATGAGGCAGCGAAGCTGCTGAGTACCACAAACCTGCCGTACAGCGGCAGAGAGCGGCTAGTAGGCATATATTTAACGTGATTGCAGCCAATGTTTTTTATGCTCAGGTTGCAGCAACTGATGCGGTTGCTGCAGTCATGGCAGTCAGTGTTGTGCAGCAGTAAAAAACAATCTTTATCAGAGGCCCCAACCAATCGTGATAAAAATAATGTGAGGAGAGACGTCAATGACAAACACCCGTTTAATTTATAGCATTTGCTATAACCGTCTTGCGTTGTCATCAGGTAACAATAGGGATTGCACCCAATATGATTGAGCAGCCACGATTTCCACCAAACAGTGGCCCCATCGAAGCCATTCGATCGCTAGCCGTGAAAACAATTTCTTTTGAAATGCATAGTCAGAAATAAGCCGAAGTTGTACGAGGCAAATCGATGTTGACAGAGAATCGAGTGACTTGAAAGACCTTACTAAGAAAGCACCTGTTGGTGAAGAAGCTGTGTTGGATAAAGCTAAAAACTTTTTGTTTTTTATCAATTTGTGATTTACGGGTAACTCCATGGCATGATTTTTCGGACCGACCTAAAATGAGCGAAGGATATTTCTTATGTTGAAGTCGACTGTACCGCGGCTCGCACATTCGTCATGCTTTGAGGCAAGGCTTCCCAGTATCATGCATAGGAACATCTGCTCAAAGCTGTGGTTTATAAACTAATAGGACAGGGTAATCTAATAAAAGAAGGGCCAAGTGCACAGCTGCGAAATTTCCGCTCAGCATCGAATAAGTTCACGCTGTAAACGATGTCCTAAACATGCTGCTTATGCGGGATAGAATATTTCAGTAGATTTGAGGAAACTTTTAAAGTGTCATACAAGCTTTGACACACATTAATCATCTACCTTGCTGACGATGAGACACAAAATGTCGGTGTGATGCTGAAAGTAAATAGAATTGCTCAAGCGTGATTCACCAGCTTGCATGTATTCTTGACATCAGCTTCTCCTTGGGGAGTAGATGTATCGGAGTGATGTTGAAAGATAGAGAGTATTTGTTTGACAGCTTTTACCTTATTCCTCATCTTTCAAAAGATCACGAATGGCCTATGACATTAACTTTTTACATGTCTATTATTTTACAAATCAGTTGCTGTTCTTAGATAGTCAAGTACGCTTATTACCTTCGACTTAGCCTCGTGGAGAAGAGGACGAGGTAAAGGCTTAGGTTCTCAATCATGAAGTAGTAATCGAGCTCTTCGTTTAAAATGAGCAAGTCTTGGGCGCATATGACTCAAGTTTTACAGCGCAGTGTGTTAAACTATGTGAGTCATCAGCATATGATAGTGCTTGCGCAGTAACGTTAGCATTTGCTTCATAACTATAAATTCTTCCACTCCAAAGCTATAGCATATCAACGCTTTGGAAGTAGATTGCCCATCAAGTAGAGGTTTGAGCAGCTATGGCTTTCCTATGGCTTTTTCTATCACGGAAATGCACTTTTCCCCTTTGTCAAAGCCGATTCTTGAGCATAGCTGATTAGACCGCCTCAAAACTTCCACTTTTCTTACCAGGATTCTGTTCAAATTTTTTTTCCAAATCGAGTATTTTAATTTTCCTGGCGCATCTCATTCGATTGTGCGATCGTCATCTGAAACAATTCCTACCCAGTTGTAAATCCATATCACCAAATCTTCAACTATGACGTCATTTTTGAAGCAGCAAACCTGTAACTAGTGCGCTATACTGTTCCTACTTGTCCATTCAAGATGACAAAAAGAAACAGTGAATCATCATAGGAGAAAACCGCAGTTCTTAACGGCAAATTTTACTTTGATTCTTTAGTCGTCTGGGAGTTCTTCTGTCAGGGAGTTTTCGGCATGTTCAAAGTCTTACTAGAAACACTCAAAAGGTACCCTTCAATATTACATGGGTGAAAATTGCATTTCCATTGTTTCTGGAGAAGTTGGGAACAGCAAGAACACAACTTATTCCATTATTTCAAACACTAAAAGTCGTATCTCCAAAATAGGACGGCACCTCTTCTGTAACTTCAAATAGAACGGTACTTCTTTTGAAGTATTTTTGGCTTTTCACTCTTCCGTTCAAGCAAATTATATATTTTCTGTTTGCTCTCTCCTCTTTCTTGGACTCTAAGAACAAGTTATAATAAGTCACATGTGATGTTAATTCAGTTATGCATCATGCAACTCAATAATTGGTAAACATCGAATGTCTAACATAAAGCGGATGCTTTCTAGTTCATGATGTACCTCACTCTGGCTGATCTTTTTTGCTTGAGCTTTATTTTGAGCTATACTATTATCAATGATACCGTTAAAGACATTTGTCTGCCAATATCCGATAGCTACAGCATTTTTTGCGAGCTCTGACGTTCTGTCACTTTCATTGACCTTCGCTAATGTAAGCTATACTGTTATCAATAATTCTATTGATCACTAGTTGGCTTCCTCGGTCCAGCCCGGACCATTGTTCACCTGCATTGCGAGCCCTTCTTCCCTCTTAGGGCCGCATGCACTAACATCCCTGCGGCGAGGGGAGCGGCGTCCCCAATGATGAAAAAGTCGCAGCGGCGTCCGCACGCGGTCCCTTCATAACGGGGGACGCCGCTCTCCTCGCCGCAGAAATGTTAGTGCATACGGGCCTTAATGTTTTGAATAACTTACAATGGGACATCCGCTTCAAAACCGCATCCCCGGGAATTTGATGTGAAAATGAGCTTCACCCCTCCTTTGCATGATTATGGGAAAATTTTTGATCAAACATGATAAGCCTTCAGTTTCTTAAAAAATGGAAACAAATCAATAAATCGATAAAAGGACCCAACGAATTGCCGCGAAAAGTAGTATCATCTGCGTAGGGCTCGAAAACATAAGTGTGCAAAGTTTTAGTTGAATCGGTTGAGAAGCGCGCTTTTCTAAAACGCACATAGCCTTTAAACTGACAATTTTGAGTTTTATATATGTATAGATTAGGTAGAGTACAAATGAATAGCATTTTTCCTAGTTGGTCTAAGAATGTGAGGTAATGACGGCAAAAGCTTTGCATTACTTTGAATTCTCGGAAAGTCGCATGAGTAATTCTAATCGAAATGTGCGCCATAAGGTGGAGAGGGTTGTCGCGGGGGACAAGGAGGGGGCGCTGCATGAATTTATAAGTGCCTGAAGCTTTGAATCTTGTTGAAAGTAGCCATTACGTTGAAGAATAATGATGGAGATCAAAGCATTTGGATGCTCTACAGAAGCTTATGTTATTAAATGTAGTTGCTCCATTTTTAAAAATCAGAAGAAGCCACAACACATTTGCAAGACTCGCGCTACAAACGAGGTTATGACATTGCAATAGAAATGCTACTGAAACAACTAATTCAATCATCTAAACAAATTAGCCTAGAATTCTTTGTGGGATTTCTTCTCTAAGACATATGCACGCTGCAACGCTGAATCACAGCTACATAAATCGCGTCTTCTTTTCTTTTCTGCGAAATGGACTAAGGTTTATTCCCACTGCAGTTGCGCCAAAATGTCTGCAAATAAATCTTGAACGTTGTGCGTATTTTGCCGTCAATCTATCCCCATGCATACTTGGATATCCGATAACTTATGCAACCTTCCGACGAATGCCATTGACTCTGCTTTATTCAAAGGCCTCATTCCAGCATCTTCAAACCGTAATACTAAAATTCTCTTCAAAATGAGAACGCTTCTACTACTAGCCGCCCTAATTTGTACCGTCAAGCCGTTGTGGATTTTTAACGTAAGTCGACTCAAAATCTAGAATTTGAGAGAAACAAACGCAGTTAAGCTCGAACTCAGTTTTTGTGCAGCATTTCCGTTTCGTAGCAGCGAGAGCGGAATAACTCTATATCTAAAAATTTTTCTGCATGATATGTTTATACAATCATTGTTATCCAAGTTGCTGCAGCTCTCAATGTCTTAGCAATATATGAGATTTTAGATCAAGCCCCAGAACACACTGTATATAAAATGCTCGATTTTTTGAATTGATCTCCCAATTCCTATCTAATTCTGTTCCAAAATGTCTTGGTGTGATCCTTCCTCGTTTTCCTGTATCACCACCTACAGCAGATCAAGGTACTGACAATCAGAGCAGAAAAACGTTTGCCTATTCTAAGTCCCCATCTAAAGTAGGCGTAATATTTTTACCTGGTCAAAATCAATATCCTCCATTTGAGAGTTCTGATATATAATGAAGCAAGCTATATATTCTAGAGCATCTTCGATGGATTTTGGAACCGTTATCCATTTTTGAGAGGAGCAAAATGGGAGGCTAGAAAGGAGTTCAGCGATATCATCAATGTTAGTGTGTCGTGTACTCATGATTAAGGCGTTTTGTAAATTGTTTCAGAACTCTACCATGACAAAAGGAGAAAGGCAGGAGGCGATGGAAAGATGGGCAGAGAACAATGACCTAAGCGTAATGTTTCACCATCTTTCGTCTCGAATTTGTGTCTTCAAATAATAGAACGAACATGCTATGAGTCAGACGGAGAATGTGACAAGTATTATGTTTTGATTGTGGCCAGGAGTCTGCCATATCATTCCATTATTATTGAACTCGTAAATCGCGATTTCATGATTAGAGATCATTTAGGAAGCTTATCAAGACTACGTGAATGCCACTGAAGAGGCAAGAAAGGAGCGACAAAGAAATATTGCTGAGATACTTGATGTTTTGCCAGCGTTCTTCGAAAGTCTCAACCAAATAGAAAAAGACCTGGTCAGCTTGCTATTGATCAAAAAAGTTGCAATTTTTTATATTCACAATGTTTAGAACCTTACCTATAATCAAGAGAGAGATGCAAAGCGGAATCTGTGTTCCACAATTGATGTGCGTGGTCGCCATGTGGCCGATTTTCTGCTCGACCTCTACCATGTTGTTCCGCGCTACACTGTAAAACCCAAAGTAGCTAGATCTCTCCGGGATATGTTGTTTGAAGATCTATCAAATACTCTGGAAGAAGCAGAAGGGTTTTTTAACTGGTAGATCATCAGCTTGTTTAACTGATGAAGTTTTACTTGCGTACTGAACATTAACACTCTTATTATGAAATATCTGCGTACATTCTGTAAACAGTGCATGCTTTTAAGAACCCAACATATTGTTAAGCAAAGCTAGCCGAATAAAGCGAGATTTATTTGTTTGACGAAATCAGAATTTTTTTCTCTAGATAAAAAGAGCTGCTGCAAAGTGCAAGCCTTTCAAATGCTCAGCGCACCATATAGGAACTGTCTGTGCCAAGTGCTTGCCACCAAGGCAAAAGTGTCAATGAAGCAATAAAAAGGGATTCCCACGGAGTGGGTTTCATCGATGTGTACAGATTCAAAATTGCGATGATTTTTGATTGCTGTTAACACTCTTTTCTACACAGCTTTCGCTAATTTCAAAGACTGTATTGTACTCAACCGTAGTCTATAGATTTAAAGTTTCGATGGTATACATGATAGTTGCTTTCCCATTAATTAGCAAGTGATTATACTACCAAATGTTAAACGTAGATTTCATTCACCAAAATTAGCGTGATGGAAAATCTCATCAAGAAGCTTTCTAGATGTTTTAGCATTTTTTTTTGAAAATGGCAATTGTTTTTTAGAGACGGCAGTGTGCTGGAACTCTCTCGCAAGACTAAAGCATTGTGAAGCTGTACGTCATGCGTTTTGCACCCTCAGTCTAAAAATTACAACCTAGAATTAGCCTCCTGAATATCGCTTTTAGCTTTTCTTTGTTAGATTGATGCAAAAGTTCTTTTCTTTTTTTAGTCTGCCTGCAAATCCCCTGAAGTAAACATTTGCAAACTATGCGAGACAGAATTTTTCTCTTTCAAGCTGCTAAGATCCCAACGCGATTCGAACGGAGATGATTGCCGAAGTTTAAACGTCACCTTCTAATATCTAACTTCTTAATTTTCAGAATCTATGGAAAACATCTAAAGACGGTTTGTTGGCCAGCACTTGTGGCGAACAGGGCTCGGCAAGAGCGCCAGCAGTAAAATTTCAAAACGGATTTCCGTGTCCTTTCGGACACAAAAACAATATCTCTTTTGCTTTTTTTTTCCAAAAACGATATCCAGCTTGATCCGGTGCCAGTTGGGCCGAACCCAGCTGGCACCGGGTCAAGCTGAAATATCTAGGCTTTTTGAAAACGAAGTCTACCTCGACTTCCGCCAAAATTTACTACGAAGTCCCCTTTGACCCCAAACCATATCTGTACAAAACGTCGACTAAAAAAGGTTGTGATTTTTCGCGTCTTTTTTACGCAGAAACCCCTTTGCTTCTTCGCTCCAAAAACGAAGTCCACCTCGTTTCCATACGATTGTGCCGGACCCTGGTGGCATACCTTATGAATTTATGCAAATTTCTGCACTTCTCTACCCAGGTTCCTAGTAAATTGTGAAACACACTTTTAAAATGATCAAGTTTTACATCTGTCCCAACTATTATTTGTCCAAACCTGAGTAAAGATTGAAAAGATAATCAATCAGGCAACGGTTAAATATTTTTTTACCAAAATCTGATTTTGATATTTTGCGAAAACTTCATCTGAGAATTTTAAGGGTACTTTGATAGCTAGCTGATATGCACATCTCCTGCAAATTATTGCAGTCTTTGTATTTTTTGGCTTCCTTTTTGTTCATAAATATATGAACCCTTATTTCTTGAAGTGTTCATATATAAGATTGTCCGGAAAGTTTTGTCGGTTGTATTGATTGGTCACTAAAACTTACAGGACACTCTTCGACGCATGTCTTAGATATCGTTCGATTCGAATTTTCATCTCCTTTCTGTAATTGCTATATCTCTCTGTTTGATGCAGTCCCTGCCATGTTAGCGCGAGGGCTCTTTGGGCAGTTCTGCAGTGACGCCAAATTTTCCTAATTTTTATAAATTCTTATATTATTTTTCTGAAAAAGAGCTGGCAGCTGTTATGTAGAGTAAACTTTTGGTTACAACATACTTACTTTAGATTATAAAGATACATTTTTTGAAATCTGTGACAATTGTTTATTCAAGAAAAACCCTGGCTTTGTGAGCATTCGTAGCGTAGAGGAGTACCGAAAATTCCACAGAGTTGATTTTTCAGAACAAATCAAACTCGATTATAATACATAAAGTATATTTAGTAACAGGTTAGCCTTAACTCGCAAAGCCTTTGGGGTTTTCATGTTTCTGATGCAGTTGTCTGCTTCATAAATTCACGAAAGTTTGAGACCTCCAAATAAACAATTTTTTCAAGCTCCAGTCAGCAGATCAGAAGAGCTGAAAATTATTTCTTATAGTGCGAAAATTGCTTTATTCAAATCGCACTTAAATTTTCCCGAAACTATAGGAAATTTTTCGAAAACTAGCCGAACTTTGAAGAGATAAAAATAATAGCTAGAGAATTTTTGAAGTTATAGAGAAATGTTCATGAAATTATGGAGTGAAAATGTAACCCTCAGAAAGAGAAGAAAAAGCTAGCTGTTGGAAAGTACCCAGGTCTTTACTATGCGAGATTTTACAGTCATTCGAAGAAACCGACATAGCTTTCGGGACCTAATAATTATGAACACCCCAAAATATAGGGTGTTTACGATTATATAAACATCCCATACTTTGGGAGTTCTAGAACTTTTTGGAAAAAACAATAACTCACAAAAATTGTTGTTGCTACTACGTGAAAGATAGCCGAAAACGGTATACGTGACAGAAGAATGAAGATCGGTGTCTACTATAGAAGTGTTTTTTGAGCCGCGCGAATTTTTAACGGTTCATAATCATACGAATACCCCAAACGAGGCTTTTTTCATTCAAGATTAAAATCTTTCGAGTCATAAATTCTTGCGAAATTAGAGGAACACAGTCTGAGATATGTGCTACACAATGGAAGTTATGTAGTTAAAAGGAACGTTACATTTCTCAGATGGCTCAAAATTCTTTGGAGTCACTGCGCTCCATAAACATCCATTTTTCTGTGGTATTTTGTGGTTACTGTAATCAGTCCCTACCATATGAATAAATCACAATAATTCTTCGACAAATAACTTGTTTGCCGCTCAGAAAGCCCCTGCGTTCTCGTCCGTTTTTCATTGAATGAACGAACATTACTTGATTTCCGATTATTATGTTACCTATTCGAATTCGAATATTCAAAATGGGCACATTTCAAAAATAGAATTTTCGAATATTCGAATAGCCGAACTTGATCGAATATCTGACTATTCGAATAAAGGAATAAATGGATGACATACTCATTTCGAATACTCGAGATGCAATATTCGAATATTCAAACGCATCAGTTGAATATTCGAGTATTCGAACATTTTCAAAACTTCTCGAATATAAATATTAGAATAACTGTCTTTCAAGATTTCTCGAATGTTCGAATATTCGAATAAGTCATTTTTCCGATTTCGAATGAACGAATTACACGAGTGAAGACCTTTTTCATTCATTTGACTATTCGAAAATTCGAATACACAACTATTTCGAATAAATTATTCGGATACGAATAAACGGTTCCAATTACAGCACATAGGGTAGAGGACTACATGTCGCCGAAAAGGGGTGGCCCGCTGCACATGCACGGAGGTGCGTATTTGCAAGAGGTCTGCGCGGGACCCTCCCACATTCGGCGACATAGAGCCCTCCACCCTACACGGTATGTAGAACTTCTAAAACTATGTATTGGCTAGAAAAAATCAGCAACGTTGAGCGTCTTTTCGGCCATGCATGCTTATTTCACCAAATTCACTATTATTACTATTTAATGAGACTTTTACTTGGCTTTGGGGACGAGTGGCGTAGTGGTATGAGGCGCCGCTATGACCAGATCGGACGCAGGTTCGATCCCCGCCCCTGGGCCAACCAAGCCCTCTGCCCTCCGGGGCTGGTAAATTGGTACCAGAGTAATCTGGGAGGATAAAAGCACTGACTTGAAAACGGCTGGCCCCCGCAAGTCACTGTAATAGGCCCGCACGCATACAATTGCCTCTTCGACTATGAAGTTAGTGTGTGCGTTCGGCGCATGCCCTCAGAGGGTATTGAAGACGCCGAATCCTTTATCCTTTATCCTTTATTTACTTGGCTTTTACTCCAAAGCCTTAAAAAGCACCTCCTCAGAAAATCCAACAACTCCAGCACGGACATCATCATGCTAGCAACGCAGTTGCTTCGTCGCACCTTTGCTGGGATGGATGTGAGTTTTGAGGCTCAAAATCGTGCTAACTTTGAGGAAAACTTAGAATTTGGTTGAGAAACGCGGCGAAAAAGCAGGGATCTCATAGGCTTCAAACAAGTTATGCATCGAAAAGCTTGATTTATTTCATAGTCTTGGTAGAGGCTAGCTAGAGTGTTTGAACCGCAGAAAAACCACGCTTCTGGAGCGCATAGACTTCAAAGCATTTTGAGCCATCTGAGAGAATAACGCTCCTCTTTTTCACCTGCTCTGGGTTGATTATATCAGATGTCTCAAACTTTGTTACTATAACTTCTTTGTTTCGCGAGAACGCTTTTTGAATGAAAAAAGGAGCATCGTTTGAGGTGTATGTATAATTATGAACCGTTAAAAATTATCCGACCCAAAAAATTTCTAAGATTGACATAGACTGTCATTCTTGTGCCGTAAACCTTACTGACGTTATTTGAAATTACAGAAACTTTTTTTGTCAACAGCTCAATATTTGACCCATTTTACCTTGCATGAAATAGTGAATAGCTGAAGAACCATACGATGAAACTTTTTTCTCTTTCCGCCTTTTCTTTGCGAGATTCGCAGAGGAAATCGCCGTAGACGTCATTTTGACGAGTGCCTTTTGTTTTACTTCAAAATTGGACAATTTCGTATTGTGAGAAAATAGTCGCCCGTTTATTGTAGATCAATGATTGTAATATTCGAGTCTTTAATCTCATTATCACAAGGATCGCAGTCAGGGCCCGGCACGAGTCGGTTTCTAGGGTTTCTGAAAACGAATTCTCCCCTGACTTCCGGAAGTTTTACGAAGTCCCCTTTAACCAACCTGCTTAGGAGAATATGAATACAAGAATACTAGCCTGAAAGAAAAGACGTAAGATAAGAGTGAAAATCCAAATTGGAGCTGAATACTACGCATGCACAAGACTTTGGCATTAGAGCGCCATATTTGACAAAGCGAGAAGAAATTAAGGC